AGTATCATATAGGTAGCCAGATTTCATGTCTCAGGATCTGCTATTTAAAACTGTTTATGCTGTTGGACTTTTCAGATGAAATAATTTATGATAGTCCACCATAGAAAATAATGTAGCTATGCTAGAACTAAACTCCAGATTGGTTACGTTTCAGGGTTCATCCCCCCGACTGGTGGCACGGCTAACGTGAATGGCTATGACATTCGAGAGGACATAGCCAGTGTTAGGAATAGTCTTGGACTTTGTCCTCAACATGACATTCTGTTTGACACTATGACAGTCCAGGAGCATCTCTGGTTCTTTGCTAAGGTTTGTAGTCCAATCATTATCCTACTGAGGCTTGTATTCATTGTTATGGTAAAATATGAAGTAAAGCTATTATAAAGTTAAAGGTGGTGTGTTCGTTGCAAACACAATCCACATGTACTTTAAATCATAATTGTAAAGAGTCTTTTAAACACATTTTGTCTATGTTTTTCCCACAATTTTCATCTAGTTTGAATTTTAAAGTTCTCACTTGTTGGTCCATCTACCATGTATACTTGAAGATCCTCACATGTGTTGACTGTTCTTTTGGTAAAGGAGATTTTCAAAAATTATTTAAAAAACAGACTATGTATTGCAACATCAGGTTGACATTTTCTGCAACATTAGTTGAAATAGTTTCTAAAACATCTTAACTCCTTCAAAAGTAATGCGACCTATAATTGTCTTTGTATCAATGTTGGAAGATTAAATAAACTAGACAGAAAAAACTTGTTTGTTGTCCTAAAGGTGCCTATTATAGATGAGTTAAAATGTTTATAAAGAAGTATAATATGTTCCAGCTGAAGGGCTGTCCATCTAGTGAGGTGACCAGTGCTGTGGATGAGATGATTGAAAGCATCAAACTTGAAAACAAGAGACATGTGAGGAGCACCAAGCTCTCCGGTGGCATGAAACGCAAACTCTCGGTCGGCATTGCTCTCATAGCAGGATCAAAGGTCAATTATCACTCTTTGTTCATAAAGCTGAATGTAATTGTAATTTTTCAACACCAGTAAAATATTGGTCAAATCTTTTCAAGAAAGCCTTATGGGGTTGAGGTAAAAAAAGATCAAAATTCTTTGTATGAAGATTTTGTTGCTAGTGTCAAAGAGAGGTGTCATCAATGACTGTATCCAATAGTGTAGTACCACTCAAACACTATATGTCAGACTCTGTAATATGTAACAACAAATCATGATTTCATAGCTTTAACCTGATATTTGATCTGTCCGAAAATTATGCTTCATAACAATTTGCATTGTTTGGTTACAGATTGTCATTCTTGATGAACCATCGTCAGGGTTGGACCCAGATGCCCGGCGACAGATTTGGACAGTTCTTCAAAAACACAGAGCAGGGAGGACAATACTCCTGACCACCCATTTCATGGATGAAGCTGATGTCCTGGGCGACAGGATCGCCATCATGGCTGATGGAGTCGTCAAGTGCTGTGGAAGCTCACTGTTTCTCAAAAACAAATATGGTAAGTCATCATTTAACTACAGATCCACACATCTCTGCCAGGGGATTTGTGTGTATAGTCCTGGGTACTAGGGCTGTAGAGGTATGCATAACATTAGCATGTTTATATATTTTCATACTGTAAGAATATGTTCATAATCTTTTCCTTTCTAGTCATTTTTTTTTATCAAATACTTGTGAATAGTATCAACAGGTCAGATTTGATAAAGATAACCCACACATAATAATGTCAGAATAGAGGATATATAAATTCCGATCTCATGTGTAGGGTTTGGGCTCTAACCCATTATAAACCTGACTAGAATTTCCTCCACACACCTGAATCGTTTTCTATCAAATCTTGTCATAAAAACAGTTAAAAGAAAACTTTCTACAGTAACATTTTGTTATAATGTAACGCCTTTATTCCAACTATAAAATGTGACATTATTGAATTGTTTCAGTTGTGACGTTAGCTATTAGACTGCTGTCAGGTATTGGACATTTTTAGCATATCCTATGTTTCACAGGGGCTGGGTACCACATGGTGATAGTAAAGAAGCCAAACTGTGATGTGGACACTATCACAAAGTTAATTAGGACATATGTACCAGCAGCTGAGATAGAGAGTAATATTGCAGCCGAACTCTCCTACATACTTCAGCAGGAGAGTTCCTACAGGTTCTCTGACATGTTCATAGAAATGGAAACTAACAAGGATGATCTTGGTATTGCAAGCTACGGAGCATCCGTCACTACCATGGAGGAAGTGTTTCTAAGGTACAAATCTATGTTCTCATTTGTATTTCAGATTTTAGACACAAACCAAACATCATTCTCTGTCTTTTTTTCTGTTTGAGTTTTGTATCAAAGCACAGACTAAAAAATTTACCATCAGTCAAAATGAAAATATTGTTACCATGATTCCTAGAGTGTCAAAGCAAGTATCTAAAAGCCAAGAAGTCTACAAGGCTGATATTTATATCAGACTACAGATTGTAACATAGCTGCTTTGGCTTTGTAGGGTAGGACAGAACAACAGCAGCTCTGTAACAGACAGGCTGAGGGGAAAGCCGAAGATGATACACCCACAGAATGGGTTCAGTTTGGATACCTCTTCATCCTTCAGGCGGGACAGTCTCGCTCTGGGTAAGAAAGCTTGCTTCCTCACTTGACTACTGGTTGAACTTTTCCATAATCAATATTGGGTGGCTGTTCTATTTTGTATGTTGTAAGTGAAAATTGTTCAGATCACAGCATTATGTACCTAATGAAGTTTTACTCAGGACTTACACATTTAGAATTAAAATCTACAACTGTTTGTTTAGGATTTAAACCCCTGTGAAATTTAGAATATATGAAATAGGAACATTCTTTTTGTATCTTTTCAGATTTTAACATAAAATACAATGTACATGGTATGCTGACATTACAGCAGTTTTGGGCCATGTTTGTGAAGCGAGCTCTCCACACAGTCCGTAATAAACTGGTAACAGTCAGTCAGCTGGTTGTACCACTATTCTTCACCCTCATGGCTCTGATTGTTATCAAGACATTTCCTGGTCCCGAGGACCTCCCACCACTTACGCTCACCACAGACAGATTTGGGGCCAACACCATTGTGTACAGAAACAGTCCTGGTAACATAAGTGATAACATCAGTCAATTCTACAGCAATCAGTTTGATCAAAGTTCTACAGAAACTGTGACTCATGTGAATGCTCAGCCGGGATATAACGCTACATCTGACATTATAGAATTCCTGGTGGACACAGGAGAAAAAAGCATTGGCCTGTACAATCTCCACTATATGGTGGCGGCTGATTTCCAACAGTTATCTGGGTCAGATAAGGTCAAGGCTACAGCTTATTTCAATGACCAATCCTATCATTCCCCGGTGATATCATTGGCGGCACTTAGCAACGCGATGATCCAGTATGTCACAAACAACTCAGATTTCTCCATCACCACGATTAACCACCCGCTCCCTCGCACCACCGCAGAGAAGATTAAACAGCAGATAACTCAGGGTACCACTGGCTTCATGGTTGCTTTCAATGTTGTGTTTGGGATGTCCTTCTTGGCCAGTAGTTTTGTTGTTTTCATTATCAAAGAGCGTGCCACCAAGTCCAAACATATACAGTTTGTCAGTGGTGTTGGCTCCCTTAACTTCTGGGCATCAACTTTTTGCTGGGATATTATCAACTACCTCATGCCAAGCCTGTGCATCCTAGTTACATTCTGGGCATTTGATATTGAAGCGTTCATATTGGATGACCACATAGCTCACATTCTGCTGCTGTTCCTGCTGTATGGCTGGGCCATGTTGCCCTTCATGTATCTCTTATCCTTCCTTTTCTCCCAGCCTGCTACAGGCTACGTCTGGCTTACTATGTTCAACATAATTGCAGGTATGTTTGACCGTTTGATGCTAAATAATTATCATTTGATATAGTTTAGAGTTTGATAATCTTAATAAAATGATGATTTAAGTTTCTTAATGTATATATAATGATAATTATGGAAATAAATCCACAAATTTTGACCAGGAAAAGAAATGAGCTTGTTTCTTCTTTATTATATGTAAATTCTGAGGAGTTTTGGAATCTTATCAACACGGTGGTCTTACAAGACAGAATGGGGGTCATAACAACAAAGTGGTCTTCCCTCTGTAGGTTTGGCAATGCTTTTAGCAATGGGGTCTTTTTAAATATAGTTGTCTCCCTTTAGTAGGCGTGACAATAGTATTAGTTGTGGTAATCTTATTTGTGAGCCTTTTAAAGGTGTGGAAGCACTGTTAGTGATGAGAAATATAACTAGTCATGTTCCTTTTTAGGTGTGGCGACACTATTAGCAGTTGGTATCCTGTCAATCCCGGAGCTTAACCTGGAGGATCTGTCCCATGCTCTGGAGTGGGTGTTCCTGGTGCTGCTACCCAACTATTGCCTGGCCCAGGGCCTGTCTGACTACTACGCTAATCATGAATACCTCAACATCTGTCCTAATATCACTGTCTTCTGTCCAATCTTCCCTAACCCCTGTTGTGGAGGTAAGAAGAAAAATTCCCTGATTTTATCAGTAACAAGAAAGTCACATCAAATATATATTAACTTGAAACAAGTTCTTGATCAATATAATTCAGTACCATGTATTTAGCTTACTCAGATTTTTTTTGTTTTATTTCAGCGACAACGGGTAGTTGTGGGCCGAGTGGGTGCATCTACTACCGGAACAACTACCTGAGCTGGGACCAGGGCGGGATAGGCCGTATGTTGGTGTTCATGTTCATACAAGGTGTCATATATTTCAACATAATCCTGCTTCTAGAATCAGGGCTCTCCTTGCGCTTCCTCTACCTCCTCGGTCACCGTGACCAGCACACCAACAGAAGTGGAGCTGAAAGTGAGACTACCCCCCTCCTCATACAACAAGCCACAGGACCCCACACACGGCTGTATACAGACAACACACTGGTTCATGAGGACACAGACGTGGCAGCTGAACGAGCCAGACTTGCTAATACCAACACAGACCAACTTTGTTGGGAGAACTCTCTAGTTATTAAAGATCTTACCAAGTACTATGGGACCAAGCTTGCTGTTGACCGTATCAGTGTGGGGATCCCTCAGGGCGAGTGTTTTGGACTTCTTGGTATTAATGGGGCAGGAAAAACCACCACCTTCAAAACGTTGACCGGGGATGAAATTATGACTTCAGGGGAAGCCTACCTCCGAGGTTACGACATCAAGAGCGACATTACAAAGGTAATCATAAAGTCATCAAGACGTTTTATAATAGAACTTAATATGCCTATAATTATCATGAATATGCCTACAGTAATCTTTCATGTTGTTTTGAGAGTCATAATTATACTTATTATAGTTGTCATGTAGGTTATATATTTGTTGATTGTAGAATGTTACTGTAGTGAGACTATTGTTTGTGTTATTATTGTAGATTAGACATTTCTTAATCATGACTGGTTAATGGTGACTAATTGTTAATGTAGGTTAGAAATTTGTTAAGTGTGACTTGTTACTGTAGGTGAGGCAAAACCTTGGGTACTGTCCCCAGTATGATGCTCTGATTGACCAATTGACCGGAAAGGAGACGCTGTATATGTTCGCTCGCCTCAGAGGTGTACAGGAGTCCCTGATTTCTGGAGTTGTCGACAGTCTCCTGGATATGCTCCTACTGAAAGCACACGCTGATAAGCTTGTTAATGCATACAGGTAAGTGTAACTTTAAAAAAACACATGTTTTATTTTCTTCCCCCCTCTCTCCCCCTTAACCCCCACTTACAGCATTAAAATTCTCCCACCATCTCTCCCCCTCAACTCTTTCCTTAAAGCACCATCCTGTCTTCATCCTCATCTTCACAGTATTATGACCTACAACCCCGTTCAATGAAACAGTATGTCACAAGGTCACTGTGCTCTATATGACCTGAATAATTAATTAAATTATGCAGATATTGATTGTTTGCTTCAAAACAGTTATCCATTAGATTATAGCTTAAATACACTTCTAACAAGATAAAGTACTCTTTAGAATGATGTCTAAAGCCAACTGTACATCCATGCCAGACAAATGTGAATTCTAGCCAGGCCTACTTTCCAGCAAGGTTCCACCTGATAACCATAACCTTATCATATAACTATAAGTGTAAGGTTTTCCCCTATTTATATTCACAGTGGGGGCAATAAGAGGAAGCTGAGCACGGCCATAGCTCTGGTGGGTAACCCACAAGTGATATTCCTTGATGAGCCAACAACAGGGATGGACCCTGTAGCAAGACGCTACCTGTGGGACACACTGTCAAGTGTGAGGGACTCCGGGAGGACACTAATACTAACCTCACACAGGTCAGTAGTCTATTCCTATACAATCTACTGTGAAATCATTCATTTTGTTTGGTTTTAGTTTTTGTTTGTTCCATTGGTACTTCTTCATATACAAATTATTATGTCCACATTTTTAGCCAAATTCATTCATATTTGGTACGGCAGGG